TCCCGACGGCCCCCAACTGTTACTTTGTGGCGGAGCGACAGGGCAGGTTGAGACCACCTAGGAGAGAGGTGGGCCTGGCCCTGGTCGGTGTTTGCGGATACTTAACACGTTTAACGAGATCTTGGTATTTGATCTGAGTCTGGCTATTGGCCTATACGCACTAACCATCTACGCGGGGACAGTTGTGGGCACTCGACGTCGTGGTATCAGCCGAAGCCTTCGTGACGTCAGTGACTGAGTGGCGCGCGCCGAATTGGACCGTAAGCCCGCTCTTGTATTAAGGGGGCTAGTTCTACTTCCGGCCGCGTACGCAACGTGCAGGTGTGCAATGGGCGATGGCCCAGACCCCTGCGCCATAGGATTTAGACCGGCGTGCTGACCTCTCTGTTGTGCCTAGGTAGGGCTGCGACGTGTTGATCTTCCGAGGCCGGGCATGACCCAGGAAAGTGTGTCCGGCCAAATAGGATCGAGCGTGTTGGGTTATGTGGTGCACCCCTGCAGGGAAGTTAATCTATTCGAATAGCCGTGATCTTCGGTAACAGGACGACTTGGAGTTGTACCTTGACCTTATGACAACTAGAACCGGATACTTAATAAAACACACCCTTCCAAGTGCCAGATACAACCGGTGATCGCTCTCTCACAGGGCGACGAGGGGAGGATCATCGGTTAGGATTATGCTATACGATGCTACTTGATGTTACTTGGTGAATTTACCATCTACTCTCTCCTACATGATGCAAGATGGAGGTGGCCAGAACCGTAGTCTTCGACAGGATTAGTTATCCCCCTCTTATTCTGGCATTTTGCAGTTCAGTCCACATATGATACCCTTATTCCATTTGATGCATATGTAGTGTAGCTCCTTGCTTGCGAGTACTTTGGATGAGTACTCACGGTTGCTTTCTCCCCATTTTTCCCCCTTTCCTTTCTTTCTGGTTGTCCCAACCAGATGCTGGAGTCCAGGAGTCAGACGCCACCGTTGATGACGACTACTACTACTCGGGAGGTGCCTACTACTACGTGCAGCCCGCTGTCGACGACCAAGAGTAGTTTAGGAGGATCTCAGGCAGGAGGCCTGCGCCTCTTTCGATCTGTATTCCAGTTTGTGTTAGCCTTCTTAAGGCAAACTTGTTTAACTTATGTCTGTACTCAGATATTGTTGCTTCCGCTGACTCGTCTATGATCGAGCTCTTGTATTCGAGCCTTCGAGGCCCCTGACTTGTAATATGATGCTTGTATGACTTATTTTATTTGTAGAGTTGTGTTGTGATATATTCCCATGAGTCCCTGATCTTGATCGTACACGTTTGCGTGTATGATTAGTGTACGACTGAATCGGGGGCGTCACAGCAACCGAATGATGTAGGTACCCTCCTAGTCAAACTTCTACTTATTCCTACAGCACTTTATTCCGATACTATTCCTTCGAAACCAGTATGCCTGAATGTTAGTTTGTTGGTGCTTGCAAGCGCACCACAGAAGTTAGTTAGTACTCCTGAAACTTCCTTCCTCTATTCTTGAGGTCAAATCTATGCTAATCGATAAAGCTTAACGCAACTTTCCTCCTCGTGTTGTTTATACTGGCAGTTGATTGATCTGCCGAGGCAGCCACGCATGCTCCATCCACCTCTGCTGATGGATGAACAAGAAATTCACGTCAGGGGCCGGAACCGTACACAAGCAAAATACGTACATGCATGGAGCACTAGTCAAGCGACATCGCCCCACATATTTGCACTGTACATTCATCCAACGATCCATTCCAAGTGACCACCGTTGTGTCGTTTACCTGATGCTCTGTTAGGACCAGCAGTGGGGGAAAGGAGGGTGAGCAGTGGCTCCAATAAACTAAACTGGAAAACAGAGCATCGCTTAATGGGCTAACGTCAGGTTAGTACGGACATGAGAGAAAAATGTATGAAGGCCAGTTTTGGACTCAATGCCCCTGCAAATTACTCCCTCCATAGTGTCAAAAAAACGTTCTACATTATGGAATGGAGGGAGTACTACAGTTCTAGTGTGAAGAATTCTTCTACTCCCTCCTATCCAAAATAAAAGTGGTTTTAGTTCAAATTGGGAAGCAGGCCTTATTGGTGCACAGGGTGATGTAAATGATTTAACGGTGTACAACTTTACAACATGTTATGGCCGACCTAGGCTAGGTGAGCATTAACACGTGGGGAAATTTGGGAATATCTTTTTTTATTATTGTGTTAATCAACAAAATAACCCTCGATCCCTGTTGATCAATCGGTGTACAATGGTGAGACGGGCACCACTACTCATGCTGAGATCTTGTTGTAGCACAAACCAGAGCACTACCGCCACTCGGTGCTGCCGGAGAAGCTCCCTGTCGTTTCCGCGGCGGCATGCGCCCGACGCACGCTGGAACCTGAGCTTCTACCCTAGGCACTGGGCGCCCGACGCATTCCTCCTCGTCTCGTCGGCACCGGATTTGGGCAAGAAGAGGCGCAACTCGGCCATCTGGTGAACAACGAACAGAGGAGGAAAGCAGGGCGAGGAAATACATACGCTAGCGAGGATGGGCTGGCCGAGATCACGGCATGGGCTTGATGGACGAAATTAGCCCAGCTAATATGGGTTAATTTCAAGATGGCAGAGACTTACCCGCGCAGTCTCCAACAGCGCTGATCCCAAACACGGACACATGATTTGTCCACAGACTCGTCCTGACTAGTCCACGGACAGTTATGCGCGAGCCGGCCATCTAATCATGCCCGCATCCATTTTAAAGCAAATTTGAACAAAAATGACGGAATTCACTAAAGTTCGGATATAATTCTCATAAAATGGACCATATTCCGCCCGTTTAGCTAAAAACTAGAAAAATAGACTAATTTGTAGCGAACGGTGACCTGATACGCGTGGCCGTCCATGCTGCTATCGCCATCATCGGAGGCCTTTCAGCGGAGAGAGGGAGCAAGAGCACGACACCCCTGGTCGGCCGCCGCCCGGTGCTCATGGAGGAGCCGCTCTGCTTCCTCCTGCGTTGTGTGCGGTTGGCAGCCGCGGCCAATGCCGTCCCCGCTCGTGGTGCCCTGGTAGTGGCCTTGCCCCTGCCGGCGGCAGTGGAGATTTAGCTTAGCGACCACTCCTCGACGATCCCGGCGAGCTCCCTGCCGAGGCGGGTGTGGTGCCATTCTGCCATCTCCGTCGTGGTGAGCAAGCGGAGAACGCGGGAATGGAGTGGGTGCAGTTGTGGACAGCGTCGGTGCCTGCTTAAATAGGCATGGGTAGGGTAGGCGAAGGTCAAGAAGCCACAAGAAGCTGGCTTCAATGGGGCGCAGCAGCGGCCAGAGTGGTCTTCTCAATAGCTGCGTTGATATTGAAGCATCGCCGCTTGCTCGTCCGGTCGCATCTGTCTGACGAACATCAATGTCATGGAGTCAGGCCTGCTCTTAAGCGGTGCTAATCGACACGAATGTGCGGCAACCGCTTCATGCGGAAGGCAAATCAAGCGAGATTTTGGGGTGGATCCAGGATGTCGGACGTGTGCATGGCAGAGGTTCTCTTCTCTCTCCTTGTCTCTCCTATGGCCTTGGAGCCATGGGGGAGCGGCGGATCTCGATTGGGCTATGTTTTTTACATGTTTGTTTGAGTTATGTTAGGGTTTGTGTCCTGCTCAGAAAGTTTAGACAATAGCTGCTCTCTGAGGATGGAGTAAGATTCTTCATGCCTAGGCCCTGTCTTGATGGTGTATCTAGCATCCTAAGAGAGCGTGTGAAGATTTGTCTCCACAGATCTCACAGGACTTGGTCGATGGTTGTCTTTGATGGATGAATATGGTCTTTGTTTGTGTGTGTTTCTGGTTTGCTGGTTTTATAGGACCTTAGCACAACGATTTTCTCAGTAGCATGTCGACCAATTTCTCTCCGTTCATGCCCAAAGATGTCCAAGTTCGACGACTCTTTCTTCACCAGAAGTCCAGAATCCCCTTCAGCACAGAACCGTACGCTGCCATAGTGTTTTCCATCGTGAAGACAGACACTTGATCACCTCAGCAGAATCGGTGATTTTCACCCAACATAGCATGTCGCCGAGTCGCCCATAAAGACGCCATGATCATCTCTGCAGTCACTCCTTGTCACGCCCCGATCCAAAGGATTTGGGAGGAGAGGAGAAGGGGATTGGGATGAGGAAGGAGTGGTAGGTGAGAGCGAGAGAGAGGAGACGAGGGGAAAAGTGATTTCATTCACGGTATCGATGCCGTCTCCAACCAGTCGTTCGGTTACAAGTAAGCCACCACTGGCTTCACACGCACGCCAACACTTGGCTTCACACCCACGCATACACTTGGCCGCTGGGCCCCACGGTGACCTGGTCGTTGCAAGTGGCTAGCTGCACTTGCACTGGTTAGTCCGCTGCAGGTTGATCTGCAGGCGTGACACTCCTCTGTTCAACATCTTTGCTAGTCTCCCATCCACATGGATTCTGCTACCCCTACTATCAAGGAATCGTATCATCAAATTTTATTTTGCTGCTCACATACGGTAGTTATCCAACCTGTCATGTCAGGCCTCTAACAAAACACATCAATCGCCTTTCTAGTACCCCTACAAAGATTACACGGTATCTTATCTTTGTGGGTCGGTGTCGCCAGAGAAGGTTGAGGTCATCGTCGCTCGCCAGCGCCAAATTTGGGGAAGAAAGCAAGAGAGGCCTACGATCACGCTATTCTTCAACAGGAGCAGCTGGCCTTTTCAGCGACCGGGCAGCACAGCACTTGCCGCCGAGACAAGGCAGCACATATGCGCTTCTTCATTCATCAGCCATCACCATCACGCACGCACGGACGGAAATGCAATTAATTCTTTGGACTGCCTAGCAAGATCGAGCAGCTACTCTCAAACAACGAAAATCTATCGTTTGTGAGAGAGTTGGCTGGTTGAATCAACGGTCGAGCGCCTCACTTCAAGCAACAGCGGCTGACCTTCACTAAATCATTTTCGGCACACAAGCTCTTGCCAGCTGCTTCCTCATGGTCCGATATGTCCATATTTGTGAGTGTGTTGGCTGGTTGTGCTTCGAGCAATACTGTTCATTTCCAACTCTGCCAGTGCCACTGATATGGAATTGTCGTTGCTACCTTCACTCTCACCTTGTCCTTCTTCATCATCAATTTCCATCATCGACACTCCATGATAGTGTGCAACTGCAACCCTGATCGATGAAAGAGCGCACGCTTTACTAGTCTGGAATCTTAGTAAATGAAATCAGTGTAGAGGAGTACAACGTCAAAATAACTAAGCAGACAACAACATGGGTAATAGAGAAATTAATAAGACCTGAAAACACAGATTACCTTTCTGACCCCATCAAACATGCGAAGCCACGAACCAGGCTAGGGACCCCAAGCTTTGTCTTCAGCCTGGGAAATATGGAGCACTCACTATTTTAGCATATACAGAGAGGGGCTAACCAGCATTGTTTTTTTTTTGAAACGGAGTCAAAAGATTTGCTCCATCAATTAATTTAGCATAAGAGAATTGCCAAGTTAATTAATGAAAAATCAGGAAAAAAACCGACACAAACCAACCACATGCGGACTACTCATAGAGCATGCAATCCCGAAAGTGCACGATCAGCCCTACAACCATACCCAACACACAACGACCACCAATCCCCACACTACTACACCGCAAGGAAACCCCTAACAAAAGTGCCTGGTCTGAAGACCATGAACACAGCCAAATTCACGGAGACAAGCCAGGCCATAAGGATCGCCCAAGAGACTGATGGCCATCCATCAAACAGCTACGGACACCTTTGCTGTGGCGTCCTTGCTTTTCCACCTGAATGCTTTCTCCACAATCTTCTTGCCAGATCCAGGGATGACCGCCTCCAAACGTGTGAGCAAGCTGCCAAGCTGTATCTCAAAGAGAATGTCATCCTCAGCCACAGGTACCATTGACAAGACGGACTCAGGTGCCTCACTTGGCAGAGGAGAACCCAGAAGTTGCGCCTCAAAATTAGGTGCCAACGCACCTACCTCGTCAACCTCGTCACCCACCGACAGCAAGTGCTCCATCTCCTTCAGAAGCACCAATGAAAGAGGTGAAGTGGGCTCCCCACAACGCTCCTGCCGCTCAGGCATAATAGGCAGCACTAGAGCCAGGACCTCGTCGATGACTACAAACCAGAGGCAGTCAATAGCACAGACATCGATGACGGACATGATGTAGCACGAGGGGAGAAATGTCCATAAAGGCTTGCTTCCTCCGCAACAAAAGACCCAATCGGAAGCTCAAGCAGTGAAGGCACAACCAGCACAACCTTTAGTTTGGCGAGAGTGGCCTCCACTCTCTACAAACGCTCCCAACTCGTGCAAGGCAGTCACGAAGCTCGGTGCAAAGTAGCTTTTTCTCCTCCGCCAGGACGGGCTGTAATTGCAAATCAACCGGTGTTGCGACGACCTCCAGTGCAGGCGATGAGGCATCATGACGCGGCTTCAAAGACAGATCGGAGCGGTGCTGAGCACAGCAGAAACACACTTTGTGGCCGAAACGAAGGCATTAGGTGCACTGGATTGGGTCCCTACAAGAATGGGCATGATGACCTTTGGAGAGACACTGAAAACATCGATCTCTGAGCCACGCCAGAGGAGCAAGCCGGGCAATGGAAGTGGGCCGAGGGAAGGCCTTTGTAGATGGCGAATGGGGGCGCTCAGCGACGATGTGCCAATCTCCCAACATTTCCCCATGAGCTGCTGGCGCGCAGCACATGGCATCAGTGGGCGTCATCTTCCTGCTAATGCATCCAAGCCAGTCCCCCAAACCAGGACACACGGGAAAGGCTACCGGGACGGTGCATGACAGACCGGCGGCAATGGGCGGCTTCGTGTACAGTGCAGGCGGCAATTGGAGCGGCGCGAGTGGAGCGGTCGGGACAACCTACAGACCGCATCGGGAGGCAACTGCCAGAGCATTGGGAGCCCCGTCCTGCACTGCTACGGACACCACCGCATTGCCCAGACCAAATGGGTCGCGGCCAAGCCGGCCAACAGCAGCATGGAGGTCGCCTGGGATGCAAGATCGATGAACAGTGGCGGCTCAGACACATCGCAGAGACGATGGCCGGAGCGACCGCCGCCACCGACTAGGGCGCAGAGTCAGAGCTCAGCATGGCCGGAACAGCAGGAGCCGACGTGGACGATGAACTAGTGTGCAGCACGGCTGGAGTGGCAGATGCAGCCGCTGCCGGCGCGGAGGCAAGCCGGGGGCGTGCACAATGGACGGCCGAAGACGGAGCAGCCGGCACGGGGAGCCTCGCGGACGCGGGAGCAAGCTTGGCCCGGGGCTCCTCCAGCACCTGCATGGACACTCTACCCATCTGGACAGGGTGGCCCAACGCCGGCTGCAGCGGGGCGGACAAGAGCTCCTGGTCCGGATCAGACCAAGCAGCGGACGGGGGGACCGGCAGGACGAGGCACACCCTGCAGCCAGCAGGCAGCGAGCTGGCCGGGACGCGGATCGGTGGCAGGGTGTGGACGGCAAGTGGCGGTTTAAGGAATCATATCATGTGTAGTCAATTTGATGTTGTGTGGTCAGATGTATGAATTTATTAATAATTTGCATGATTTCTGCTTGTCCCATGGCATTTTTCCCAAAAATCTGCGTCGTCAATTAACTACACAGATGAAGTGTGGCTTCGCCACTGAGGACGGGACGGACGGCGCAAGGTTCCACTCCTGCTTTTTCTTCCGAGAGGGATGGATAGAGATGATGGCGCGGCCGCAGGGGTGACCGTGGTTGTATGGTCGAGACATGGTGAGACGTGGTTGTATCGTGATTACCTGAAGTCAGTGGAGCTCCACACACGAACGGCACCACTCCATGTACCTGTAATTAGAACTGGAAGACTGGGATGGGCAAAGACGGAAACTGCAGTCTCATGTTCGAGTGTATGAAGACACTCCTCCTTCTGCAAGTCCCATATCTGTTTTGACAAAAAAAAACAAGGCACTCATATATTAGAAATGCTAGATGCATGTTGTATTAATGTACTCTCCAGCATACTAGCCGACCTTGGCAGTCCTGTCATCAGAGCCGCTAATCAAATACTGCCGCCCATCACGCTTGAAGAAATCCACGCTGTGCATTCCTTCCGAATGCCCATACAGAGTATACTTGGATTTGGGAGAATCAAGACTCCAAACCTGAACACCAACCATAAGAGGTTCCAGTCATAGTACAGTAGAAAATGAAACATATTCCATCTTCATCACTGCATCAAAAAGTTTACTTAGCAAACAAATAAGAGAGAGAAAGCAAAACCTTTACTGTACGATCATCTGAAGCACTTGCAAAACTGTTGGTGTCCTCTGGGTTAAATTTTACTTCATTAATATCATCTGAGTGTTCTTCAAATGTCTGTATGCAATTCCAGTCCTGGTCCCAGTCCCAAAGCTTTATTTGCCTATCACACCCTGACAGCACATACGGCTGGGCTGGATGAACGTCTAATGAGCACATGGTATTGTCATAATCGTGAGATTTGAAACCCGTGACCTTTTTGAGTTCCTTTTCATACTTGTACACATGGACGAAGCAATCTTCTGACACAGCCACAATCCACCCCTTTCGTGCAATAAATTTAACTTTGCATACTGCAGTGAGGGCAATCGTCTGATTAGCATATACCATTGTACAACTATACATATTGTGGAAGAAAATTATATTAACAAAGAAGTCAGAGAGCTTACCTGTATCCCATGAGGCCTTAATCGAAGTGACCACTTTCTGCCAGTAAACATAAGTGAGTCATTTGTTGGTCCAATGTAAACGTAAGACTGGTATATTTGGCTATTTGCCAACAGAAATTGATCTTTTGGTGATCACCCTTTACATTTAATCGTAGTAATTCAATTGAAATTCTACGAGGGGAAAAAAGTGGGGAAAAACATTTGCCAATATGGTGTGGTGTTTGCTTGGCTGTGGGCAAAAAGTTCAATATTATGGTACGGCTCCCGTCGACCATCACCAAACATAGAATTTTCCTGCTATTTGGTAATCAACAGAATCTGTATATGTATTTACGAACTGTAAATGCTTTTTTTTAACATTACGAACTGTAAATGCTTACGAGCATCTTTCTGATGCAAAGGGCAAGTGGCCATAATTTTCTTTCATTATCCAAAATACTAGCAGACAAAGCAATATATAGAGGTGACGTGCCTGCATGTTAGAGTTCCAAATCTGGACATGACCAAATCGGTGACCGGTGACAATCCTGTATGATAATGAGGTATTAAAGCAGGATAATCACATCCAACGCACCGACTTGAAAAGGAAGATTAAAGATTAAAATGCCTATATTATCCTACACACTTACAAAGGCTCTGTCTGATGTGCATCCATACAAAGGAACCCACCGACTGCATCATCTGTAATCTGACCAAACAGCAGTAAAGGTTGGATTGTCTGCTACGTCGGCAATGCATCAAAGACAGACAAAAGGAAGCATCAGTACAATTCAACTCAGTCACTGAAGCAGCATTGTTCCAATGCCACAACGCAATTACACTCATAAATGAATTTAGTTGGGATCTCTTTCTACCTTGATCATCTTGAATCATCTATCTTACACAGTAGAGTAAATTAGAAGGAACCCTCTTTTGTTTTTTCTGACATATAACCACCAGTATCCAAACAATGTCTACCGAGCCGTCCGCGACCTTCACGGTGATGGAACAGGACACGATGCGGTAGCTCGTCGTAGGGCGGCGACATGTACTTCTACAGCCGCCACTTCAAACCCAAAATGCTCGCGCTCGGGTGCCAGATGGCGGCACTAAGCGCCCCCAGGAGGCGAGGACGCCCATTGCTTGTGCGGCATGTCAGCCAAGTTCGTGGACGCTAACAACAAGGCTGCCATAGTGTGGGTGTGGCACAGGGAGACCAAGATGCTCTATGTGGACTGCATGCATGGCAACGCTCGCATGGCCAACATCCTCGTCACCAACAGCAATGTCGTCATCCCCAGTCCGTAACATCTCCAAGATTATCAGCGGATGGTGTTGGATTATGAATGTCGACCAGAGTGCGCAGAGCGCGGGTGGAGCAGGCTGGTGAGCCCTAAAACCGGCTCCTTGTGCCCTCAACTTGGTGCGAATGGAGCTGGTGGGCTCATGCACATTGCTCGACTAAATGGCTGAGGCCACCTACAGAACTTGGGGAGGTGTCGGAGCTAGCAGCGAAGGGCTCTCGGAGGAAGACATCATGCTCACAGACACGGAAATAATTAGGTTGTCGGACTAATAGTCGTATGGGGGTAAAAAGCAAGAGAAAAGAAAAAAAGGTTGCTGGACAACAAGCGAAGGTTTCTCAAGAACTCAATCGATCAGCGTGGCCAGGAGCCCAGGACGCAGCAGTGGCGGGCTACACTGACCTCTGCGCGCATGCCAAGTAGCAGCAAGCCGGAGACTGAGTGATGCTACCGATGCCAAGATCGACAAGCTACAGCTATATTCTTTATTTTTCTGCAATAATATATATAAACATAATAAGATTATATTATGGTATCGAAATTATCAGATGGAAAAAATTACTTGATGCAAGATGTTTATTTTAATTATCGAGGAATCAACTATACAGTAAATAATTATTTGTGTTGAACAAAAATAAAATAGACATAGCTTTGTAAGTCATATAGGGACAAATGACAGACAATTGAACGCTTTCTTTCCGGTGCATTATATGGTAATGTACAGTTTTGATCAAACAAGGACGAAAGACCCCTGGTAACCAAACAATGTTTACTCGAAACATTAGACCTTTTTTTTGCGATGAAAAAGGACTTTTATTCTAAATTGATAGACCTATTATGCTGTCGCTGCCCTTTTTGACATTTGTATTAATCAAATTTCTGCCATGCTGTTACTCTTACTTGCACCATTATTCATTACGCACAAGTTTCATTTGTACTAGCTAATAATTAACTATACATAGCTTTTGCAAATAAGTTTTCTTCTTAGTTACCGATCTCACCTGTGTCTCAGGTGGTATATCACGTATTGATGCGCACACACGCACACAACTGGTGAGACGTACTTGTCAACAAACAAAATTCTGACTTCTCAACACTACATGAAAATAAAAAGGAAAAGATGTGCAACCCAACCTAATCTACTAATCACTGTTCAAGAAGGCGCTACTAGGCGCTCGCCTAGGCGCGCTTAAGCTCTGGGCGCTGGCATAGCGCCTCGCTTTGGACCTAGGCGCTCAGAAAAGCGCCCAGAAAGGTCCTCCGGCAAGAAATCGTGTTTCTCAGGCAGGAAATCAATCTCCCCAGCCAGGATTTGACCTCCCCAGCAAAGATCCATCCTCCCCGACGAGGATTCAACCAATCCAGCAACAAATCAACTGATTCCGGCGAGAGATCAAGCATTTCCGGTGAGAAATCGACTGATTCCGGCGAGGGATCAAGCATCTCCGGCGAGAAATCGAGCTTCACTGGCTGACTGGTTCCCGTGTGCAGCAAGGGAGAGAGGAAGGAGAGAGGCGGCGTGAGGAGGATCCCTAATTTTCTGTCGACTGTGCACGTATGGGAGGCTTTAGTAGGAGAATTGAATAGATGGGCCAGTGGTTTAATGGGCCAGATCAGCCCATCTACCTTGTTTCTTCATGCTACAGTGGAAAAGCCTAGGCGCGCCTAGGCGACGCATAAGCGGGTTGTGCGCAAGTAGGTCACAAAACGCATAAGTAACGCCCAGCGCCTTCTTGAACTTTGCTACTAATTATTTTGCAGTACTCTGTATTAAAATAATTTTAAAATATATTTGATCTGGACGTCTTTTATTTTTTGAAGAAAGCGATCTCTCCCCCAATTTCATTCACAAAACCACAAAGTTCAACTACAAAGCGTAAGTAAATATATGTTGACCTGAACGTCTATCAATTTGGCACTCTTTTTTTGCGGGAAGGCACTCTAACTACAATAAAAGATCATTTGCACTGGACATAAATTGAATAGACAAAGCTTTGCATGTTGGTATTCTTGGACAACTCACCCAACTGGTTTCCTCACTTGCTTCTTGTGGCTCACTGACGTAAAAAACCACATCCAAATTCACGTCATCAACCACATTGACCACCTCATTAGTGAACATATTTGTTGTTATATCCTCAACTGCAAGGCAATCATTCACGTTGGTGCTCCACACAACAAGTTCATTGGAACGATGCATATATCCCGGTGCCTTGCCCTGCAACTGCAGTGTTATTTCAACATTACACTTGGATCTTGGCGGCATAATGCCTTTCTGTGGTTGTGTGCAGTATGGCAAGGGGCTCGTATTTTCGATGTTGAAGGCAATGTAAGAGTCCATCCCATTGGTTAACTTAAGTGTGCATGACATCTGTTTGTTAAGCTCAAACGGAAAATGTAGTTGGAGTGGCTCAATTCCAAGCATATCATCCTCCGAGTAAGGGCTTATCTACAATAAAGAGCGGGAGAAAGTAAAAAAGAAAGAAAGAAAGAATTGGGTAAGGCCCATGGAGCATTCGAGCTTACCTGTCCAAATGCATGTTCATAGGCATTGCTGAGTTTTCCATTAGCACCTTCAATTTCTCTTATAACATGTATCATATGCCATATATAAGGCCGTTTGGTTGGCTCGATTTCGTGGCAGAGTAACCCAATTTCAAGGCATTTTACTACTTGTTGGTAAGCCAGTGGTGTTTCCTTCCCTGTTTTCTTCCATCTATGCCTCCATCTCCTAAGTACCTGTCGTTCCATGAAATGTGACAAAGTAAGTTGAAATGTTTTATAAAAACTGTGAGGACGACGACACATAAACCAGCTTGGACACGTCTCTCTTCTCCACACAAAATTAGACGAGGCAATGCATGCTTTGAATGATGGAAAAAGAAAGAGATGAGAAGGTTTTGGTTCCTAATATAATCAAGAGTATCTCATGTGCTCTGTATGCTTCAAGAGAGAGATGAGAAGGGTTGATACTAGCACAGTCTAGATTTTTACGCATAGATGTGAATGACAGTATAAATGGATTTTCTGGCTGCATGCACCTAGTGAAGGTGTGCGTACTGGTTCATGCTTCTGAATATTGTTGATTTATATAAAAAAAGGTTTCTACTTTTGTAAGTTCTAGTGGTTGTTGAAGTGTTCCATATTTAACGCATGCAAACTATGCTCTTTAACGCTTTTGCAAATATGGCTGTGTTTGTTAGTAGCAAGAGCACAGGTAACTCTGATTCGGGACAGTGTTTTTGGGCTGTGATGGATGCAGCTGGCTAGGCCTTTCCGCTTATTTATAGCTGAAAGGAACTAGTACAGAACCATCTCAGTGGCTTTCTTACAGCCTAAGATTTCTTGACTTGACCCACTGACTTGTAGCCTAAGACACAGACCTGACTCACTAGGTTACTGCCTAAGGAAAATACTTGACTCATTGACTGACTGCAGCAAGGATTATTCTAACAATTCTCCCCCTGATCCTTGCAAATAAGACTTGAATCAATTTGGACAATCCCAATCCTAACACGCAGCTCATGGAATTCACCCGCCCTAGTGTTTTCGTTAGAATGTCAGCGAGTTGGTCTGTGGTGTTGATGTAGTTAGCACAGACACATTGCATGACTAATCTTTCTCTTCGGATATGCAGTATGTAACTAAATATGCCATCCAATACCTCAAACAGTGTAACATATATGCAAGGCATAAATCTTGGGTATTTCTAGAAAGAGATTATATGTATGGAGAGATAACACACACTTACATTGTTATTATCACTGCAGATTTCTTTTTCTCCTGTCACTAATTCGGTGATTATAATGCCCAGACTGTACATGTCTGATTTGAATGACATCTTTCCCTTATGTAGGTATTCTGGAGCACAGTATCCTCTGCATAAAAGGATGGCATTTTAATGCATTATAGCATCACAAAATGTGAGTGTAAATGCAAAGGAACATGTTCTTTTCATGCATACTTACAGTGATCCATAACGTTCTTCACTCATGGTTTTTGACTTCTCATCAAGTCTCGATAAACCAAAATCTGTGATTTTCGGCACCATATCATTGTCTAGTAGTATATTGTCGGGTTTCAGATCCATATGATATATCTGCTTTTCCTTGTGCAGATGATGCAAACCTTCACAGATGCCTCTAATTATTTCATAACGTGTATTCCATTCAAGTCCCCTTAATTCATCTGAATAATAGAAAAAGTGGCAGCGAGAATGGAAGTTTCCAACAATTGATTTATGCAAGTTAAATACTGAACAATAAGTGACATCAACATTCGTGTTCTAGTCTACATCTCCTTGATTGTAAATAAAACTCGTCAACATGAAATGAATGGAAAAAGATAATTAAACAAGGATAATTAAACAATAAGTGATATCAGCTACGTATATCGGATGCAACAACGTACCAGCAATATATTTTTGCAGGCTTCCATTGCTGATATACTCAAAACAGAGTAACCTTTCTCTTACTTCCGCGTAAATATGTTGTTTTGATCCTTCGATTTGTATGGCTGTTTGATCTGTGCTAGCACAGAAGCCAAGAAACCGTACCACATTTTTATGTTCAATATTCAGCAGGCTGTCAACTTCACGATAAAATAATGCCTCATTGATTGAATGACTGTTCCTTATCCTCTTTACTGCGACATTCCCATTTGGGAGCACTCCCTGTTTAACTTCTCTTGTGAGCATTTAAAGAATGTGTAGCTGAATTTGAAGGTGCTCTGCAGTAAGAGATGGAGTAACACAACACTGGCGCCACCACATTTGAGGGCCCCTGACCACAAAGAAACAAATGCATGTGTGCAAGCTTGTGCCACTGTGTCTATTTTGGGTACAAGAATCGGCCTTACTGACTGACTTCAATACATACGCAGAGTACCACAAAAAAAGCCTGACTGACTTCCATACATACGCAGAGTACCGCAAAAAGTAATGGGTGTCTTTGAAATGTATGTAACAACTATATATACTGGGATTTTTACTACCGAGGCTCAAGTTGATATTACAATTTCAAGCATGATCCTTAGATGACATATGCCTAATTTCTGTTAAAATAATTTACCTTATAAACCGTTGCAAATCCACCATGGCCGATTTCTCGATCGTGCGAGAAGTTTTCTGTGATATTCTTCAAAAGCTCGAATGATAGATTTGTTGGCTTCTCTCTTCCATCAAGTATACGCTGCAGGACCTCAAGATCCATGTATCTGTCGTGCAACCCATTTCAGAATATGGACTTTCAACACTAACAAAAGAAAGTTTGTTCCTACTAGAGCACCATTCCATGGAGAACTCACGTTTGACTAGATCGCTAGTACCTTTCTATAGCAGCATATGGTAGTTGTCCAAGAAAGTTGTCTGCGGTAAATCACTGAAGCGCCAACAAATATTTAGCACGAACCGGAACTGATACAAATTGTCCACTGATGTAATAAAACCCTGCATTAAATGCAAAATAAACGAAATTATTGTAAGATTTGTAACAAAGTCGATATACACATGACATAATGCTTGCAAAGTTGAGAGAACGGTATGGCTACAGTGTTTAAAAGCCTAATTTGACGTAGTGCTAAAAATGCCCTTCTACCCCTTCTCCACGGAATTAAAAAGATGCACAGCTCAAGAAGTCCCCGAAGAAAACACACACACACACACACACACACACACACACAGGGGCAGAAGGAAGAAACCGGTTTTGCCGCAGGGCCGGGTCATAGGTTGCTGACGAAGAAAGAAGCAGAGTAGGCCGTGAAGAGCATCAGAAGAAGCAGCAGAGTACATTTGAGTGGTCAGATCTGGAGGGATGGCGCCAAGTGGTGGAGGGAAATGCAAAGCAGGGGAGATTAATGGAAACGCTAGCTGGATGGGGGGAATCCTCAGACGGGCGGCGCCGCCGGCATCCGTAAGTTTTAGATCTGGGCGAGACGCTTTATTGCTGTCCGGCCGCCTGAGGCTGCATCGATCGAGAAGACAACGGCCATGCCGATGGCGGCGACCCTAGAACGTAGTATCTACTCTGGATCTGGATATGCAGAGGAAGAGGGAGGCCACCTGACATTCCTCTCGGGCCAGCGGAGGCGACAAGAGCAGCCAGAGGCCATGGATTAACAGTACAACCTCTCAGTTTACCAAACCACGGATCGACAGATTGAAGATAACAATCAATCATCTGCATAAAGCGACAGCACTGACCTTGAGAGAGCAGACGTAGATAGATCGATGACGAGAGAAACGAGCTGAGTGAATAGTGGTCTCCACTCTCCTTGCAGCCGCTGGGTAGGTGGCGGTGGGTGTGTAATATAGTACAAAGTTGACTTGACTTGACTCGAGGCTGTTAGAGTAATACAAGCACATTAGTTAATTGAGCTCAGCATGGATTAGTATAAGAGCAACTCCTCAAACGGATATGGATTTCGTCTGTTTTTTTGTCTGTTGGGTCACTTGTCCACCTAGCGGACATGCGGCGGACACGCACGGATGGTGGATGCACCCAACCAACATAGAAACACTTGAAGCGGACATGTGGCGGACCCCCTTCCCCCCTCCTCCCTTCTTCTTTGTAGGCGCTCTGCCCCACCAGCGCCGGCCGACACCTCCTCGCGCTGCCCCTTCTCGCCTCCTCGCGCCACCCCTCCTCTCCCCCATCGCGCCACCCCTCCTCTCTCCCTCATGCGGCCATTCCTGCATTAGATCCGGAGGGAGCGCCCGGACGCGAGCTACAGCACCAGCGGCGCCCGAGCCTCTAGCCACATGACGAGCCTGCGAGGGAGTGCCCGGACGCGAGCTCTAGCGCCAACACCAGCACCACCAGCCGGGCCTTGAGCCCCATGAGGAGCCCCGCGAGGGAGCGCCCAGACGCGAGCTCCAGCGCCAGCGCCGCCGGCTTGAGGTCGGGATGCACGATGCGGAGCCCGTGGAGCGCGTGCATGGCCCCGAGAATGGCGGAGGAGGCGGGGAAGGTGGACTGGGTGGGGACGGCAACGGCCTGCGCCAGTGAGCGCGGGCCTCAAGGACGGGGGACAATAGGACAGCAGGTGGACACGTGCATCCGTTTGGGTCGCCCTATAAGAGTTTTCTTGTCTTGTTCCATGGAGTTGGAACAAGACAAGAAAACTCTTATGGATCTTATCAACAAACAACAGGGGGTGATTGATAAATGTGTGGATAAAATAGAAATGTGGGAAGCTAGAGAAAAAAATGGAGGAGATTACTGATGCTGATCTGAGGATCTTGGACTCGGAAAAAAAGGGAGAAGATGATCACAACAACTACAATGAGGCAGTGGATTTCAATGCTAGTCAGTAATCTGTGTCCTTTGGCACTAAGGTGGGAGTGAAAACAGGGGGAAAAGACATAGACAATAATGAGACAGAAGAGGAACAGCTGAGGAGGTGTGGGAGACTGGCTGGCAAGCACGATGCCAAGATTGAAGAATTGGCCAAAGAAAGAGCTGCTGCTAAGGACAACTATGGTAAGTACCAGAATTTAAATTGTCACAAAACCTCTTTGCTAGATATGGCAGACCAGATTGGGATTGATTTGGGTTGTTCTATTAATATGATTGAATCCAATCTAGATATGATAGATAAAATGGAGCAATGTAGAAGAGATTTTTACCTACAACATATATGCAAAAAAGAAGAGAAGGAAGGTCACTCTGATGAACCTAACCTTATTGATATTGGAGATACAGACCTCGCAGAAATATGTTCTGATGAGGACAATTCTGATGCTGAGCTAGAAATGGATCACTTTACTCATCTAAAAAAGTTCTTTGCTAAGACAAAAAGAAATAGCTTGAACTCACCAGGGTTCTCCTGCGGGAAGATAGCTAGTAAATTTGGAAAAGGAAGGAAAAAACATAAAATAGATTGAAAAAAGAAACAATGATAGGAATGTTCTGGAATGTTAGAGGAATTGGAAAAGATAATAAGAGAAATTTTATTAAAGATAACATCATTAACAAGAAGCTGGATTTTGTTGGGATCCAAGAAACTATTAAAGGGGACTTTTCAAAAAATGAACTGTACAATCTGTGTGGGGGGAGAAACTTTGAATGGAAATGGTCCAAACCAAGGGGAAAATCTGGAGGGATTTTAGTGGGTGTTAACTGTGACAACTTTGATGTTATCAACACAGAAACGGGGGCTTATTTCATTAAAGTGTTGGTATATGACAAAAAAAGTAAATTCGAATGGAATCTTATAGTAGTATATGGGGATGCACAACCTGCTGGCAAAACTGCCTATTTGGCAGAGATGTCCAGATTATATCAAGATAATTCCTCAGTCCCAATGATGATTGGGGGAGATTTTAATATTATCAGAAACAGCACTGAGAAAAACAAACCCACTGGTACTGACCACTGGAGCTTTGTGTTTAATGCTATTATTGAGCAAGCTGGACTGAGAGAAATACCTCTGGGGGGAGGAAATATACTTGGGCTAATAATCAAGAAGACCCCACTTATGAAAAGCTAGATAGGGTACTCATTTGTCCTGATTGGGAACAGAAGTATCCTTTAACTACTGTCCAAGCTTTAGAGAGAGAGAGCTGTCAGATCATACACCATTGATTGTGGACTCTGGAGACAAAAAGAATAGTAACATCATATTTAGATTTGAAAATGCTTGGATGCTCAAAGAGGGATTCAAAGAATATGTCTATAAGATATGGAATATACAGATGGTGGGGTGTATTGGACAGATGGCAAAAAAACTAAGAGTTTTTAGACAAAAAGTGAGAGGATGGATATTAAACTCAGATGCAGTAGATAGAAAAATCAAAAAGGATATTATGAGCAGATTGGATGATATAGACAAAAAGGTAGAGATTATGGGTTTATCAGCTACAGACATAATTGCAGAAGGAACTAAGAACACAACTGGGGAGATTGTTGAAACAAGAGGAAATTAAATGGCTACAGAGATATAAAGACAAGGAAATTAAAGATGGAGATAATAATTCTAGGTATTATCATGCCAAAGTAAATGGGAGAAGGAGAAAAAACAGAATTTTTTCTTTGAGCCAGGAAGAGGGGATAATTGACGGAGATGATGAACTGATTAAATACATTACTAATTTCTACAAAGAATTATTTGGACAACCTGAAGTTTCTACTGTGACTTTAAATATACAAGAGGCCCCTGGCATTATAGATGAATAGAGTAGAGCATTGATTGAACCTTTTAGCATGCAAGAAATTCGTGAGGTGGTGTTTGCCATGGAGAAAAATAAAAGTCCTGGACCTGATGGCTTGCCAGTAGAATTTTATCAAGAATTTTGGGACCTAGTGAAGTGGGAGTTAAAAGAATTAATAGATGAATTTCACTCTGGCAAGCTAGACATTTCTAGGTTGAATTATGGAGTTATAACTTTGGTACCAAAAATAAAAGATGCTAGGCAAATCCAAAAATTTAGACCTATTTGTTTACTAAATGTGAGTTTTAAAATCATTACTAAAGTGTTGATGAACAGATTGAGCAAAGTGATCAGACCAATTATCTCCCCAAATCAAACAGCCTTTATAAAAGGGAGACATATTATGGAAGGAGTAGTGGTGCTGCATGAAGTACTTAACTCCATACACAAAAAGAAACAGAGTGCTCTCCTACTCAAGGTAGATTTTGAAAAAGCATATGATAAGATAAAATGGCCCTTTGTGAAGGAAATGCCCTAGAGGCAATAATAAAGCTATTATTTATTTCCTTATTTCATGATAAATGTTTATTATTCATGCTAGAATTGTATTAACCGGAAACATAATACTTGTGTGAATACATAGACAAACAGAGTGTCACTAGTATGCCTCTACTTGACTAGCTCATTGATCAAAGATGGTTATGTTTCCTAACCATAGACATGTGTTGTCATTTGATTAACGAGGTCACATCATTAGGAGAATGATGTGATTGACATGACCCATTCCGTTAGCTTAGCACTTGATCGTTTAGTATGTTGCTATTGCTTTCTTCATGACTTATACATGTTCCTATTACTATGAGATTATGCAACTCCCGTTTACCGGAGGAACACTTTGTGTGCTACCAAACGTCACAACGTAACTGGGTGATTATAAAGGTGCTCTACAGGTGTCTCCGAAGGTACTTGTTGGGTTGGCGTATTTCGAGATTAGGATTTGTCACTCCGATTGTCGGAGAGGTATCTCTGGGCCCTCTCGGTAATGCACATCACTTAAGCCTT